AAGACTGAAGCCTGGTCTAAAGGAAAGGAAAATCCTGAGGACAGGCAACTTTTTGAAAGCTAGGGAGTGCTTTTTATATATATTTTATTTATTTATTTCCCTTTGGGTCCATCCACCAAGAGAAAGACCAGGAATTTAACTTTAAAAAAAAAAAAAAAGGTGAAAGTTTAATCTGGTGAATGCAGGACTTAAAGATGTAAAACATCCCAGACAAGGCACAGAAGCGACCTGCACCACACAAAGTGCAAGAGCTGCCGTCAATGGGAAAGAAAAAGCTCTGACTTGGGAAGTCTGTGAGCAACGAGACCAGTAATCCTTCCCAGGCGTTTTATAAGCTGTGTCTTCGCGCAAAGGGCAAGTTTAATCTGAACGTTGCGGAAAGAAAAAACCAGAAGTTACAGGAATTTCCCCAACCTAGAAATATAAACAGTCTCTTAAGCATCCACACCTCTTTGCTTCTCTCTAGTCGCTCCCCTACCTGCAGAGTGCGTTCGCTGGGCTTTCTCCTCTCGCCATCTCTCCCAGCGCCGGGGCTCTGTCGTTCGGGGATGGGAAGCTGCCAAGTGGCCGCTCGGATTCTCGTCTCCTGTAAAGACCCAGGGCAGAGTCAAATTATAACCTCGCATTTCATAAATTTCTGTTATCCTAGTGACATAAATGTCTGTTACATTAATTACATTAATATAATTAACTAGAATAATGTAACTAACTGCAACACGTGTTTCCCTTGTTATATGGAAAGAACATTACCATGGGTCACTCAGTCCACTCAGCTGTGTTGGGATGGAAGCGCATTGCTCCCTTTACTCAGTACTGAGACACTGACAGACTCTAAATGTCAACTTTGCCTTGCATTGTCTGACTTCTTCTCCCTACAAAAAGTGTCTTTGACAGTAGTTTCAAGCAGAAGATGGGTAATACTTCCCTTTGACACCCACAATATTCTTAACATAAGCTCCAACATTGCAAAAGGGATACACTGGATTCACTTAGGGGATGCAGCTTAAATTCCCGCAAGATGAGACTGCTAGCTTTCTGCACACAAGATGAAGGCTTTTACTGCTATTCCTGTCCTCATGTTTTGATTCTCCCTCCCACGCACTGATAGAAAAAGGCCCTCGCCTCACTGTTAAATGAGCCTCAGGTGGAAGGGGGAGTGGACAAGTAGCAGCTGCCTGCCATAAAGAGGGTGAGCTGAGGGCTGGGTTAGTTTCTTGCTGGGCTGTAAGCAGCAGCAGCATGGACCTTAATTTTGAGGGGGCCTTAAGGGGGCAGGAATAGCTCAGTATTTGTAGGGTTTTGTTTGTGTTGTGGTGTTTTGTTTTTTTTTTTTTTTTCTTTCCTACATCACTCTCTCTTTCAAAGGTCAAAATAATTCTGGGAGCTTTGGCCTAGGAGAGTGAGGGGAGTCTGTAGGCTTTTTCATGCTTACAAGAATTGGACAGGCCATTCTAGATGGAAACTGAAGAGGGCTCCAGTGTTCCTGAAAGCTTTCTGAAACTCTAGGCTGAACTGTGTGCTAGTTTGTAACAGGTCTCAAATTCCATTTTTTTTTTTCCTGTAACTTTGAAGTGCTTAAGTTCTCTAAAGAGTTGAGCTGCTGTTTGGTTTTGGTTTACTGTTTTGTTTTGTTTCGTTTTGTTTTTTTTTTTCCCGTGTAGTCACTAGGTCTTTTGTGTTCCCTGATTTCTTTTATTCTTGCTTCTAAGCTATGTGTAACAAGGTTGTATCATCTCCATGGGTTGGAATGGACTGAACTTAGTGTATTAGTTAACTGAGGAAATACATAAGTGTGGGAAGAGGTTCTGTCTTGTGAATTTTGTGTAGCTTTGAATGTCAACTTATGCATAAGGGTTTTGCTTTTTCTTTGTTACCTATTCTTTCATTTAAGCATAGGAAGCATGATGTCACTGAAATATTTGGTTTATTACGTTAGCTGTCATTGTTCTGAAGTACGTCATAAAGCAAAAATCCTGAATTAATAGAGCTATTGTGATCTCAAATACACCATATGTGTTGGCATTAAGAAGTGTTTTCTTCATGAAGCACAAAACTTCTGATTGTGTGAAGCCTTCTATTGCTTTTTTTTTTTTTTTTGAGGCCTCTTGTTCAAGGCTAATTGACTGAAGGCTAGCTTTTAATTGACTGGAATACTACTTATATGGATGTGTGTATATAAGACTACAGTGAAGTTACTGGTCCTGTGGCTTTAAAATATGTTATAAGATTGGCTTGAAGTACTAATGCCAAGAGCTGCATATAAAAGCTTCCTTAGCAAAGGAGAACTAAAATTTTTGACCTTGATAGTAATGTCAATTTTCTACTTTCTGTTTGGAATATAGTAGTTTTTTTCTGGAAAGATCTGGTTTTAGTGGGCTGGGAGAGGAATGTCTGCTGAATTCTGACAGAGCATAAAAATCATTAAGTCACACAGTTTTTTAAAGTGGTTAATCCTGATTGTTTATCTCTTTCAGTGTTAAAAAAAAAAAATGAATACTGCCTCAACTTCAGAAAGTGGATCATATTCCACAAACCACACGAGACCCTTTTTTTATGCACAGCCAACAGCACAACAGCCTTTTCCGAATCCATGGTACCTCAGTCATGCATACAGTCCATACTGTGTACCTGCTCCAGGTAAGGTAAATGAGAGCTCTGTGTGGTAGCTTTGCTTAGTAAATTACTGCTAGAGTGGAGGAAACAAATGTGTATCTGTGTTAACAAGCTGCTTGGGAGTTTAAGGTAGAATTAATGTAATGTTTTAGTTGTCAAAGATCTGATTTATGAAGTGTTGGTTAAATGTGTAGCTTGTGTGCTGGAAAGCTCTGTTTCTGGAGAATGGAAACTAAGGAAGTATTAAGTAATGGTTATCCTACAGATACAGAGCTCTAGAATGTACCTAATAATTGTGTGTGTATATATGTGTGTATATACGAGTTCCATGGATTCATTATAGGTATGGATAAATATAAACTTAAAAATCCACACAGAAAAAATATTGTTAAATACATCTTGTAAATGATATACCTATGTTAGCTTTTATCTGGAGCTGTCATTTTCAAAGATAATGCTATAGTGTAGCCCATAAAATAATAAAAAAAAACTAAAGAAAGCTAATTGGTGTATGTTCCAAGGAATAAAATCAAGCTCTGGTTAAAGTCTGGCTGTCCAGATAAGCTGTTCCATAACAAGGAACTCTCTCTGGGTTTCTGCACTAGATTTGCTTCCAAGCATTGACAGGTGGAGTGTTTTACTTACCTGTGTGTCTGACCTTGTAGCTGTCCCTGTGCATGCAAGCAATTATTAAACAGAATGACTTATTTCAGAAAGAAGATATATTATTTGTCTTTATTTTTTTTTTTAATCCCCAATGCCTAGGCTTCCGAAGTGGAAATCCATATTTTCCATTTTATTCTGTTGCGCTCCACGAATACCCTGGATATTTTGTTCCACAGCATCCAATGCATGCAAGAATTAACAGAAGGCCTTATTTTAATGCTCCCCCACCTTCCCCTATGTTTTATCATGCAACAAGATTTAGACACTATAGTACCCCTGGGAAAAAAATGGAGACAAAAGAAACACAGACTGATCCTAGACAGCCTGAAAACAAGCAAAAAAAGCATCAAGATACCCGTACAGAAACGAAAGGCTGTGATGCAGGAAATACAGCCTGTGCTTCTTCTGGTATAGGTACAGAGACTGAAAGTGCTTCAGAGAAACAAGATTCATCTGGATCTTCCATTGTGGTAGACAGAGAGTTTCATAACAAGAGCTCTTCCAGCTCTACACAGTATAGAAATCTTCCCACTGGAAGCTATGCCTTTGAGAAGGAAGAAGTGAGGATAGAATATGGAAATGGCTCTCCAGCTATTCAACTGTGGAAGTCCTTTAAAGAAACTATCCCTCTGTATGATGTGGCAAGTGGTAAACCAGTCCCAGAAAACATAGTGCAGCGTGACTTATTTTCTGTTAGCTCATGTGAAGGAATGATATATGGCCCTCATGAAGGGGAGAAAATGGTGCCAGGAGCTTACTTGGATGAGAGAAAAGCTGTTCTCCCCTCAAAACAAGGTGTTGAAACTGTGCAAGAAAAAGAGGTCCAAAATAATGAAGGGAAGCTGGATGCAGAAAAGCAGGGGAACACAAGTCAATGGGCAAAATCTTCCCCAGGTGAAACCATGGCAGTGCAAATTGCAGGGTTGGCAAGATCTGTTAGCATAGATCAACCAGTGGTAAGGCAGGATGTGGTAGTAGCGAAGAAATCCAGCTCAAAAAAATCTACAGGCTCAAAAACTTCTCAGGAAGAGCCCAGCTTTATTCAACAAGCAGGACTACTTCCATCTAGTATGGAGGTAATGAGTGACTTGAGTTTTCAGCAGAAAAAGCTGAATCTAAGCCACAGCACAACCAATGAAAGTCAAACAGATAAAAGTATTTGGTGTGACGAATCAATTGAGAAGTATGTTCCCTCTAACAGTTGGCTGGCTTGTTTGGATGATATGGACACAAACTACAACTATGATGTTTGTTTGCCACAAAGGAAACATCAAAGTGTACTCAGTCTTTCTTCTGATGACATCTCCTCTAGAGAGGAAGGGTCATCAGTTGATAATGCCCCAGTGTCTTATTTTGTCCCTGACTATGTGCTTCAGAAAAGCACGTATACTTTCCAGAAAAGTACAGAGGGCTTAGAGAAAGAAAAAATTAAAAGTGCTGGGTCCCTTAATGAAGGTGAAGTGGTAGGAAGGGAACAGATGAACAGCTTGAATGACCAAGATGTCAAAAACTCTTCAACCATGAAGATTAAAGAGGCTTCCAGTAAAGGTAGAAAGCTGGGAGCCTTTCCTAGATCTTCTAGTCGGAAAAAAATCAATTCTCTCAAGAAAAAAGCAGCTAAGAGTTTGTCAGAAGTTGAGGACTCTGAAGAATACTCTGTGAGGGGAGAAGAGGATGAAGATGGAGAAGATGAGGAGGATGAGGATGATGATGACATGGACGAAATTGAGTATTTCTTTCAAGAAGCCACTCCATATGGAATCTTGACGCCTAGTAAAGGAAGTTTCTACCAAGTTGGCCAGAGGGTGCTTTGGAAACCACCTAAAAATGCTATACCTGCTCAATTAATTAGCTGGCCTGCTCAAGAGAAAATAAAAACTAGGAGTGGGCTTGGTGAAAACATTGGTGTAGTTTACAAGCCAAAGGAGAAAGAACAAGATGAAGTTGTATACAGTGACTATGGGTATTATGGAAGAAAGAGACCTATGGCAAGAAGAGGAGGGCTTGAACACCAGCGAATGCTACGGAAATTGTTGGGAGGTAAGCTAATTGCTGAGGACAAAGTACTGCTTAATAGAACACACAGAACACCTAATTGCAGTTGCAAATTGTAGTTTGAACCACTGGGAAGATTGAGAATGTTGTAGCCTCAGGTTTGGCTTAGAGACAGAAGTATTGCAGAATATTTTTTTGAGGAGGAGAGGGTTTGCTGCAGTTTTTACTCTATTGCATGAGGGTTCTGCATCTTTGCAACCAGGAGAGAATTTTGCAGAAACTCTCCTTTGAGTTAGATTTTATACACTTACCTTTATGACCTCAGTGGCAATTTATTAATTTGAAAAGTTTAAGGTCATTTGAACTACATGTTTACCACTGTTTAATAATATCTTGGAAACTTGGCATTTAAATTTATACAAACTTCTGACTCTCCCATCACAGACCAATGTTAGGTGGATTAAACAGGATTAAGTTCATTATAATGTGGTGGCCATACCCTGTGTAGCTTGTGTCCTCTGCAGAAGAGGAGTCAAACCATTAGGTTTTTCTAATTGTAGCTCTCTTACTGTTAGGAACAAAAGTTCTGCTGTATTTTTGTAAAATCAGTGTGAAACTGTATTAAATTTGATCTGGAAAAGAACATCTTATTTAATCAAAGGTAGATATTGGTAGCAATTGGATTCATCTGAACTGAAATTAGAGTTGTCAGTCACTGTTCATAACTGGTTATGTGGGTACTTCAGTGAGTGGCTGCTGTTTAGTATAGTCTTGTATTGTGAAAGGCATCTAAAACAGGGTGATCTACTTCTGATAACAGGCTTAGTGTTCTCAAACTTTATTTTCTTTGTACAAAATCTGTACACTTAAAGCAGCTTGTATTTTTTGTCAGGTGTGGTCTCCAGAAAACTATGTTTTTATTAGACTCTGACAATTAGTCAGTAGCTAGCTTTGCATTCTGGCCTGTGGATCAAACAGTATAATAACATTAGAAAAACTAAATACTGACTGTAAATCACTTTTTTTTTTAATTAGGAAGGCTGTTAAGGGAGAACATGGGGATACCACCTGAAGAGTATTGGATTAGAAGTGGTGCTAAACCCAAATTTACCAGCCAAATACATGGTGGTCTCTCACCCCCAGCCAAGAGCAAAGAACAAGGTACAACTTAATTCCTTAATGTGTTTCTGTTCTTAAGGAACATTCAAAAGGATATGATACAAAATGGCAAGCTTATGATATTTGGATAAGATTTGAAGATAATAAAACTAATTCTCATTGCTCTGATATTGATGAAATGCCTGCCAGTCAGTACATCTTGGGGTATATTTACAAACTCAAACATGTGAATAAGGATGCATTATAGCTACCCTTTTTTTTTTTAAAGGTACCATGGGAAATCAAAGCATCAAATGCTTTGACATGGCCAAGCAAAGCCCTTATTTGTGCAAAGCTGCTACTCCCATAAACCACAGTATTAATTCTTTACCCAGATGCTCCTCTTCAGTGCACACACAGTGGCAGTTCCTAATCTTGATGAGTAGAATGTATAGGAAGTCATGTGTGATAGCTACATAGGCCAATGTTCAGAGAATCTAGCACAGACCAACAGTTGCCCCAATACTGCTAAAGGATGTCTGAGTGCAAAACATCTTGATGTGGTTATGGAAAAGATGAACAAATCAAAGTTATTCTGACAAAGTAAAAGGTTAGCTAGTTTCCATAGCTTTTTCTTGCCTCCCAAAGCAGAATGCTTTTTCTTTACAATTAAGGTCTAGTTGGAGTTCATATCTCTTTCTAGATGCTCTTCAAGGGTGTTTCTTAGTGTAAGTGCTGTTGGAACAACTGTAGAATTTGCTGTAGTCTGAGTATTACTAGTCTCCTGGGTCACATGGTTTCAAGTATCACACAATCAGTCTATCAAATCACCAAGTGTGACATTTATCTTCAGAACAGACTGATGACTGACTTTGCTTCAGTTCAGTGATAATATACATCACGTTTCCTGTATCAACAGCCCAGTAGACTGTTCTTCAGAGTGTATTCCTCAGAGTTATCTCTCTGCATTGCTTTCCTGCTTGAGCATGTCGGGGATTGGGATTTGCCTCCTGCATTGGAGGCTGTCTATCCACAGACTTCAAAATGTTCTTGGGGATTTTTATGCTAGCCTGCTCTATAAAAGTTGAAAACACTTCACTTCAGCAGCACCTTTCTTAGCGCCTTACAATAATTCATAAAAATAATAAAATAGTTCCAAAATAATTTTGTTACCTTTAACTTTCAGCATGCCCCTTTTATCCCTTCTAAGTCATAGATGGTGCAGTGTACTGAGGATGTTTGGCCTGTGTGTTACTCCCTGCTTTCTCTTCCTCCTTTTCCAGCCTATGTAGTTTAAAGAAGTATCACACTCAGTATTAGGAAGCACAAATTGGTTTCTTCTGAATGCTGTTCATGCCAATGGATGCCTCAAAAGTGCTAGTAAAATTACATGCTTTTAAAAATGTTGCTTATCTTAGGACTGGTTTCTTCAAATAAATCTTAGTTAAGTGCCCTGCAAGTAAGGGGGCTTGGCTAAACAAGATATGTTGAATTAGCAGTAATATATGCTAAATTTGACTTCTTGAACTGTGTACCTATGGTGCATAACTTAACAGGTCTGAAGAATTGAGTTTTTTAAAGAGAATGGGTGAGTTGGGTCACTTGGACAGCTATCAACTAGTCTTGAACACTTGAAAAGCAAACTAGAGCAGAATTATCCAACTGTCACTGGGTTCCTTTTTGCCACATTAATAACTATCTAAGTTATGACCCAAAATACAATGCATCCAGAATTATGGTTAGACAGTGATTAAATATTGTAGATGTATAACACGGTTGCTTGACATATGTAGTGTCAGTTTTATCTGCCACTAAAATGGGTATGTAGAGGGAAGGGAGAAAGAGGAATACTACAGACCAGTTGGGGAAAGTCCGCTTAAATTTGCTTAAAGACTGTGCTTTGGAGAAATAACACCAGTCGTATCTTGCTATTTAGGGTGCCCACCTTTGGTTAAACCAAAGAAGAAAAGAATAGGCAAGCCACCATCAAAACGCAGAGACAGAAGATGTGAGGTGGAAGAAGTGTGGGAGGTGCCTAAAAGCAGCGTACACAAAGGTTGGTATACAGTGACAAACTACGAAAATGACTGTTAGAAGCATTTTTCATTACTGTCTCAGGGACTAATGGTTCTTGGTTTGAACTGCAAGGATATTGGATAGCTTGTAAAATAATAGCAAATGCTATATATGGAGACAAGATGAGGAAAAAAGCAAGTTAAACTTTGAAAACTTACCTTGCTATTGTACAATATACATTGTAGCATTGTGACCAGGTTAGGTTCCTTCCCTTTATTTAAGGGAGGGGGGGGCAACAAAACAAAACACACCAAACCCCACTGTTTTAGTCTAGTTGTTCTTCAAACTGTTCTACTAGTTTTTTTTAAATGCTGGGTCCTGTGTCACTTTGCAGTATATCCTTTTCTTTAAGGTACAGGTCTGTTCCAGCAAAAATATTGTCATTTGATCCAACACAAATGCATATAGATAATTCTTAAGAACTTCAACTTTATGGAGTAGGAACATCTTGCTACTTTAGAGGAAGATGGGAAAAACAATGGAGGGTAAAATCACATTAAGTAGGTTCAATAACAAATATGCTTTTATGCATTTGTGGGAGAGTCTGAAAACATAAAATTGAAAAGGGTCAGTACATACAAGAAGTTGTAAAAGATCGGAGTTCCTTCTGGAAAAGAACAATCTGGCATAATAAAGCTACCTTGAATATGCAGTCAGGAAATACATGAGTTAAAGGACCCTCTCTTTATCATATATTAAACAGAGGATTATGATTCAATGTATTTGCACTGTCTGAGAAAAAAACTTAGACTGAAGCATCTTATTAGTCAAAACTGGCATCAGTCCTGAAGTCAGCTTATTTAAAGATCAGTGTTAAACCTTTAATTGCTGACCCTTTTTAGTAAAAGCATCTAGGAAATTTGCATTATCCCCAAATATTTCTTGTATTTGCCCCAGTAATAGTTGGTGTTTCTTGAATGCATTCAACAATGTAGTTACAAGAGCACACTGAAAATATGCTAGGAGTTTGATATAGAACTTTTATCTGTCTGTTACACTGGGATATTCTGAACTCCAACACCATTCCTGTGGAATTTTATCCTTGCTGGGAGGCTGAGTACATAGTTCTAACAACAATCATCAATGTCTTCTCCTGCAATAGGAAAAGGTGGTCACTGATGTCTAGTCTGTTTTTAGAAGCAAATTGACATATATTGTTTGGAGGGTGAATGTATACATTAATATCCTTTTTTCTTTAGGGCGTGGAACAAGGAAGTCCCTCTATAAGAGAAGATAACTGCAAATACTGGGGGGAGAAAAACTATGTGAGGCTTGCATAAATCCAAAACTCAGTTATTATTCTCTTGTATATTTTGTAAGTTGCTGTGCACTATTAAAGGATAAGAAGTAACACTGTAAAGACTGAGGACACTATTAAAATGGAATTAAGTATCTAAAACTAAGGTCACCTTTTTACAACTAGCACATATACCATTTAAATAATAAATTTAATAGAATTGCACTTTGAGACTTCTTGTATTCCATCTATACATGGAAGCAAAAAAAAAAAAGCTTATGATAGGGATGCATGTGTATCAGTACCATTATAGCATACCATTTACTGCTGCCCTGTTCTTAAGCTCTGCAGGGTTGGGAAGCCTGTCAATGTCATCTCATAGTCAGTTTGTCTATATGATGTGGATGTAGGTACAAGGTTCTCCATCAGCTGGATTTTTGGCTGGATTTGTTTTTGTCAAAGTGTAAAGGAATATAGTTAAAGCTGTATCAAATCAAGTACTGACTTGAAATTTCAAGGCAGTTCCTCAGATCTTACTCTCTCTAAATGCATGATGATTGAGGACTAAAACTAAAGCACTGCATTGATGTGATGCTTCCCCCTCCTCCCCTTCTTTTTCTGTGGAGACCCTTAGCTGGAGAGATGGACTTTGAAGGTGAAACAGAAGTTTTTACAACAGTGGGATGCCCTGTTCCCTGACTTCTTACTTCTATTACAGTTGATACTGTCCTTGGCAACTCACTACAGAAAACTCTCTTTATAGAACAAAGATGATAAAACTAGGGCTCTGCTGAGCTATCTTATGAATAATGCAAATAGACTGATCTAGATGAGGTGGATAGTTCAAAAATGTGTGATCTTTGTCATGTCCACGAAAGCCAGTATCACCATGTGAGAAGAATAAACATGATACTGCCATTCTTGGGTGATTCCAAAATGAAGTGATAGTGTGAGTGAAAAAGGTAGGGAAACTAAAAAACTGAAAAAAAAAAAAATATCCTTTATAATAAAGAGCGGGGGGGTGGAATGGACAGACAGGATTTGTCCTCTGCCTCATCTCCCAATGTTCTTATTCTGTCTATGCCCTAGAGTAACCTACATGGATAAAAGTAGCATTTCCTGTGACTGCATTCAAGTTTTGTGCCTACCTATTACTAGTTTGACCTGTAACTGAGGTTATGCTGTTTTCCCTCAGTGAGGAGTATTGAGGTTTCCCTACCCAACTGATCCTTGATCCTTCTATTTTTTTTTATAGCACTTGCTTACTTGTTAAAGAGCTACTTAATTATAGCCTTTACCCCAAGCTGTTAGGGAAAAGGATCCACTTTAACACTGTGATGCCAAGTTTTTATTTCCTCTCTACACTAAGCACTGCAAGAAAATAAGGAATACAAATTCTTATTTGGCTTTTGTGCTGCACAAAACCTCCGTTGCATCAGAACCTCAAACAATAAAATGAGGGAGGAAATTGCTTCAGGCATGGAGCTTTTTAATACTCTGGAAAATATAGGACTGCTGCTCTTGGATATCTAATACAGGAATGTGCTGCTCTTGGAGGGGGATAGACTTCTTATTCTGATGGGGAGAATGAGTGGTAGAATCTCCCCAACTTGAAGACTACAAGCGATGACCTAAGAGTAATCCTTGGCTATAACTGAGACCTCTTAGGTAAGGATTGACTACTTTTTCCCTGAACTTGAGCGTAGCTTTGGGATTGAATGTTAAGCCAGTTCTGCTAAAGACTTAACTGTTTGTCTTTTGCTGCTTGTCTGATAAAAGAATATTCATGACCTCACAGTTACATGGCACTCTTTGGGAGACTTTTGTGAATGGCTAATATTTTGCAGGTACTCCCAAGATCATGCTAGTCATTCTTTCACAGGTCTTGCACTAGTCAGTGTGATTTCTACTCAGTTGTAAGAAGCAATTTAGGGCCTGGTGATGCTAGCTCCCAAGAACATGTGAGGGAGTAGGAGTGTTTAGGAGTGTTTAGACAGCTCTTTGTCTGAAAACAAATGCTATTTTAAACTAATTGCTTAAAGTCTTGTAGTGTACCCATGGTATGGATCCACACCAATGCTTGAAGTAGTATGCATGAATGTTCTAGTGCTCCCAAAATACTTCTTGGATAATGTTATATGTAGTGTACTCTACTCTGACAGTACTAGTTCTGTGACCTTAAAACTAAATCTTTTACTTGGCTCTTTCTTCACTCAGCAGCATGGATGATTTGTGGACTGCACATTAAGTCAACTGGCTTACAACTGCATTTAATGTTCAGAAAGGTTGTGAAGAACAAACTGCATTATAAAAGGCTGTGAATTCAAGACCAGGCTCTTATGCAGCCAGATAACTAGCCAAAGTGATATTTGAGATTTAATTTGTTACAGATGCATGTGTCAATTTTTTGTTACCGCTGAAGCTCGATTGCCCAGTGATGAGTAACTGCAGTACTGGCATTATGATGAGCTTGTAACTATAGCAGCAGTGCATTGCCTTTGAAGTTTTTGCATGCTTCCTGCAGCATCTACTGAAGGGCAGATGAAGAATCTATTTGCTGCTTGGCACACCAGTAACAAACCTTAGAGGCTTCAGAGACTGCCATACTAGGAGCTTTGTGTGGACAGACTTGCTGTCAGTGACTCAGAATTTCTAACTCCTCATTTGTCGCTAAGTAAAACCTCTGTTGCAAAGTGGGTATGGTGTAATCACTGAAGTGGAGCCAGTGGGTTATGTTGGCTTGCCAGGTTTTAATTCTGTATTTTAATTTTCAATTTGGTAGCATATGTGTGGCACAAAGTTTTCCCTTTTTACAATGTCCTGTTTTCTGCCTTATGTTGGAAAAGATTAATTACAGGTCTTTCTATTAAAATAAAACAGAAGACAGGAGCCAACGGCAAAAACCACTCATTGCATGCTAACTGTAGGCATACCAAGGAAGAACAAGTGCACTGTTTAAAAAAAGGTCCTCAAATTGCCCTGACTTGCTGCCACCAGCCATCTCTGTCAACAAGACTATAAACCCAATGTAATTTCATGGCCAAAGAAATAAGGTGGATGTCAGTATTTTTGCTGAAGTAATCTTTGAGAAGAATGGTTCTGAGTATTAAGATAAACAGACCTGGGAGCTGAAGACCTGTTAAGCTGTATTGCCTATGAAGTATGTTGTAGCTGCATTTCACACTTTAGACTCACGGGACTATACAATTATGCTATTACTTACCACTTGGGCTTCAACAGAACTTTCAAATAGAAAAATATGTGCCTACAAAGAAGGCAAGGAGTGCTAGAAAAAACAATTGGGTCTTTGAACAAAAACATAAAATAGCTCAATGGTTAAGATTTAAAAAAAAAAGGGTCATCAAGTCTTTTATGACTATAGCTTTCTATCCTGCTTTCTGTATTTACTTCTACATAGAATCATTTTGCACAAATATAAATAGGTGTTGGTATTTATCTCTAGTCTATGTATTTCTAAAAGACCTAAAGTCTCTTAAATGTCAACTTTGGCACTGTTTAAAATGCTAAATGATGAAATGAATCATGTTTCTCAGCACTCTAGTGCTGGCTGCCAGTCAGCACTACTCAAATCTATCAAAACAGCTTTAATTTTGAAATGGGCTCTACTTTTTATCGGTTTCAGTAGAGAACTACTGAAATCTTTATGTATGGGATGTGATAGAGATCTATAAAACTGGTAATGTTATGGGGAAAATGAATAGGAATCAGTTGTTCACATGCCTTCCATTACAAGAACTAGGGTGTATGAAATAAAACTAGT